GGCCTTGAGCTCACTTTGTAGCCCAGGCTGGTCTCGAACTTACAACGATCCTCCTGCCCCAGCCTCCCAAGTGCTGGGATTGTAGGGGTGCGCCACCACGGCCGGCAAAATCTACAAATTTTGGCCGGATGTGGTATCACACGCCTGTAATCCCAGCACTCGAGAGGCTGAGGCAGCAGGATCACTGGAATTTTGGGCCAGCCTAGGCAACAAACTGAGTTCAAGGCCAGCCTGAATTATATGGCAAAACCCTGTCTCAGAAAGATACAGACACACACACAAAAACCTATAAATTTTAGCAGTGTTAAAAATCTCATCTAAGCCAGGTATGGTGGCTCATGCCTGTAATCCCTGCACTCAGGAGACTGAGGCAGGAAGATCACTGCAAGTTTGAGGCTAGCCTGGCCTACAAAGTGAGTTCAAAGTAAACCTGAAATACAGAGTGAAACCCCACCTCAAAAACACAAGACAAAAGAAAGAAAGAAAAAGAAAATTTCATCTAAGCCATGTGTGGAGCCACACATCTGTAATCCCAGAACTTGGAGGGCTAAGGCAGGAGGACTGCCACAGCCACAAGTTCGAGGCCAACCTAGGCTATGCAGTGAACTATGAATCTGAACTATGGAGTAAGAGCCTGTCTCGAAAAAGAGAAAACTCTCTTCTATATTAACGTCCTTAACAGACGCAAGATCATGCTTGGCTCTGAACAGAAATGAAGTGGACAAAGATTCCTCGCCCTAACCTTCACAAGCTGGACTCACCATAGCGAGGTGTGGTCTTCAGTTCTTCCACTAGTCTGAGAAGGGGCGAGCGAGTGGGGGAATGATACAGAGCAGCGCTACCAGAGACTGGGTTTATAGCAACATAAATACCTAAGGCGAAGCAGCCTCCACAGAATACCTCTAGAGAAGCCAAATCATTAGCAATGCCATGCCATGAGCACCGCGCCTGTGCTGGTACCGTGTCACAATGGCCGCCCTGCACACGTACTTCACCTCCCCCATGGTCAACAACGACCTGAGGTCTACACTTACCTTCTAAGATTCCAAATGATGATCCGTGTCCCCTTCTTACCCATAATCGCATCAAGTTCTGCCAGAAGCTTTTGTTCCGTCAGAAACAGAGAATGTTCTAGAATTGCAGCAAGGCTCGCTTTTGATTCTGTTAAATTAATCATCTGCCGTACATCCTTAGTTAAAGACTGAGATCAACAACACATTTCACAATTATAATACAGAAACTAATTCTAATAAACTCAAATAATAGAAAAACTATTTCCTGAATTATGTTCTAAGTTTTAAAATGGCAGTTTCAGCCAGGCACCATGGCACACACCTATCATCCCAGCTACCCAGGAAGCTGAGGCAAAAGGATGGCAAGCTGAAAGCCAGCCTGTGAGACGTAGTAAGGCCTGTCTCAAAAAGTGGGGGGCAGTTTAATGGTAGAGCACTTTACCTACCACGCACGAGACCCTGGGTTTGACCCCCAGTACTGCAAAGTGAGTAAATGAAGGCAGCAATGAATAAATAAAATAGCAGTGCAATTTCAAGTGAACACTAGCAAGAATTAAAAATAAGCAAGTTTACTAATTCAATGTTATCCAATCTTTCAGTGTGTTACACAGAAGGCATTCCCCTGAAGTTAGTTACTCTGCTTTTCGTGGTCATTAGCAAAACTTTCAAGCCAGCCCACAAAATCTTATTAGCTTATCCACAGTAAGCTGGAGTAAAAGAAGATCTAGAAACACAGCTCTCTATGGCAGTGGTCATCTCTGGCAGTGCTGGGGAACAGACCCAGCACCTCTCCCAGGACAGGCGCACACTACTGCAAGCGCCACCTCCAGCCCCCTGGAATGAATCTACCATAGAAGGGAAGCCACCTATACTGATTCCATGGCACAGTTCTAGCAGAGAGGACAAACCCTGAGCTTCAGGTACAAGGTAAAGGCAGTGACATAAACTGAAAGTACAGATTTGCTTTGGGAGGCAGAAGCAGGAGGATGGCAGGTGAGAGCCCAGCCTGGGCAACTCAGTAACTCTGTAAGACTCTGCCTCAAAATAATAAAGGGTTGGGGATGTGGCCCAGTCTGAAGGCCCTGGGTTCATCCCTCGTACCCCAAAAACAAACAAAATAAGGACTTGAAGGAAGGCAAAAGGGCAGAATGTTTCAGAGTATTTTCCGGTTTCCCCACAGCTTCTATTTCACAAGCAAAAGGATATGATGCTTGTTGAATGCGACGATTGGGACAACCACATGTTCTGCTTTGATGACTTCCAAGTAGGTCTGCGATAAGAAGCCCACACTCATACTTTCTCCGTTTTTGGTAAAAACAATTGCATCTTTACCCAAGCGCATAGAGCCCGACTTGAAGCCATTCCCATACAATCCGACTGGGACATGACCATTCATGGTAACTTTGTCACTGAAGCCAAAGCTAGAAAGAGAGAAAAAGATTTAAATAATAAACACCTGCATCCACCCAGTGCAATACCAAGTAAAAAGCCTGGCTCTCCCGTGCTGGCCTCAGCCTTCCTGGCTATCTAATGGCAAGCAAAGTGCTCTTCATCTCTCCTGATGCTTCCCTACCTCCGCGGAGAGGACACCCAGCGACATCACAGGCGAAGGGTCACAGCAGTGACAGGCACGTGGGCCAGGCACCCCTGCCTACATGGCTGCTCACGGTCTGGGAAGGCAGGACCTCGAGACCTTACCCCAGGCATCTCTCCGCTAAAGTGAACAGCTCTCTTGTCCTAAGCGACCCTCAATGGTACGATTAGTCATGGGGGCACCTCCACTTTCTGGAACCATAAGAAATACCTAAGGGACAATAGAAGGCCTCCTCTTCTACAATCTCTGTCCTGTTCTTGTACTGCATCATTTCAGTTTCCATTTCAGGCACATTTAATTCATACTGACAACCTGCTCTCTGACCCTGCTGTCCAAGGCTTCCCGACGACTCTGTGCTGCTTTCCCAGTCTCTCAATCTCTTTAAACCTACTCCCCTCCAAAGCTAAGTTTTATTAGAAATAGTGGTTAAAACTAATTTACACTAAAGTATAAATAGCTAATACAATCTCAGTACTCTACAATTCTAAAGGAATGCCGAAACTGTAGGTAAGTCAGACATGGGGAGGAAGAAACAAGAAAGATAGGGACCACCTGATAATCTACCATGCACTCAACAAAGGGAAGACCCTTAAAGAGACTTCACCACACTGTGGGGATTGCAACTCAGGTTCTGAAACAAAAACTAAGGATATCACACGTGAAACCCTTCTACTACGTAAGAGCTCTGGTTCTCCCAAGAGGGGCACAGCTGTACATACCTGAGCATTTTGTGCAACTTATCTGATGTCATCCCGTTCCCATTATCAGTAAATGTCAAGCATATCTGGTCATTTATCACTGTTTTGTCAATCCATATCTGTTTAGCATTCACATCAGGATCATAAGCATTATCTGGAAAGCAAAAAGTTTTGAGAAATGTTGAGTTTGCATTTTAAAGAGCTACTAGTTCAGAGCAAACCTATAATAAGCAAAAGAATACCATATTCTAAGACTACTTTAAAAGCTACAAGTTTTAGGAACTCCTGAGGTTTGAAAACACGAAACTAAACCACGTTCACTGACTAGAACAGAATCAACCATTTCTAAAGTGCTTAGCATTCATGGCAAGCAAAGGTTGGCTCCTGTCACAATGAAGCAGTGATAATGTCACTGCACACAAGGATGCTAAGAAGACTGGCCTGGCAATCCTAATGGCAATGGAGAGCTAAGTGTCAGCGGAGGTACGTGGTACTTGTTACAGCTGCGTGAAGCAGCACCGCCTGCTATGCTACACACTCAGCTGGAAGACTTGGCTTCCACACAGTTCTACCACTGCGGCCCTTGTCATCTAACTCCTGCTTCTGCTGGCTTTCACACTGCTCTCTGCACGCCCCCAGTTAATACCCTTGTTGACAACACTCATTTCTCTCAGAGTAAGCACAAAGAGATACACTGAAAGTGGGGGGCGGGGATACAGCCTGCCTGACAAGTGTGAGGTCCTGGGTTTGGTTCCTGGCACCCAGCAAAAAAAAAAAACAGCTGAATAGTAGCAGGAATAATCCTTGGGTTCATGAGCGTGATGACTGGGTGCTCATGCCACCTGCATGAGATGTGCCTTCCTCAAACCTTGTTACGACGTCTGCACATTACCTGTCTGACGTGGAAAAAAAAAGAAAACGAAAAAAAAGGGGCAGGAATAAAATGAACTCACCTGCATACAAATATATGTGTATATATATGTAAAACATATATATTATGTAAGACTCACCTCCATATATACACACACACACACACACACACACACTTGTTTATTTATCAATCTCACACACCTATCTCAATCTTATTTTCCTTAGTAGTAGGGAGTAAAGCCCAGGCCTTCATACTGAACTATATCTACAGTTGTTTCTGAGACAAGGTCTTGCTAAATTGCCCAAATTGGTCTGAAACTTGGAATTATCTTGCCTCAGCCTTCCAGGATACTGCGATTAAGATCTGCACCACCATCCCAGCTTTATTGAAATATATTACAGCCAGGCATGGTGACACACACCTGTAATCCCAGCACTGAGGAGGCCAAGGCAGGAGGACCACTGTGAGTTCAAGGCCAGCCTGTGCTACAAAAGTGAGTTCAAGCCAGGTGTGGTAGCACAGGCCTGCAATCCCAGCACTTGGGAGGCTGAGGCAGGAGGACCGTTGTGAGTTCAAGACCGGCCTGTGCTACGAAGTGAGCTCAAGACCAACCTGACTGCACAATGAGACCCTGTCTTTAAAAAAAAAAAAAAAAAAAAGTGAATTCAAGCCAGCCAGAACTACATAACAAGATGCTGTCTTACAAAGACAAAAATATGTTAATTAATTATATGTATTCTTAAGTCTTTATATATTATAATACAAATAATGGTTTTCAAACTCTCCTTTTATAAAGCAGCCAATAATTAAGTAATCTTTTTTCAACCACTTCAGAAGGACAGTATTTTACTAAAAACTTAAAATTTACCACACCATGAAGAGAACCAGTCACAAACTGCTCCTCTAGGCTGCCATAAAAAGTAAGTATAACTGGAATGTCAGGCAGGTACAGTGGCACACCTATAATCCTAGTACTCGGGGAGGCCAAGGGGGAGAATCCCAATTCAACTGGCAATTAGTGATTCAGCAAGAGCCTTTCCCAAAATAAAAAATTAAAAAAGGGCTGAGGGTACAGCTCAAAGCAAGAGTCCTTGACTCAATCTCAAGTGCTGCGGGGGATGGATAGATAGGTATATAGATAGATAGATAGACAGATAGATAGATAGACAGATAGATACATAGACAGGGGCTGCAATGCACAGTAGACTCACTCTGAGTTTTGAAAAATATCACCTGAACCATATTTGTCAGGGGAAGAACTTGCTATTATAAATCGAACATACTGACCCTCACTGACACCAGAAAAATGAATCTACTTGCACTACCAAGAACTATAATTCTCATTTTTTACTTTCATAGCTAGAATAAAAATATTTTCAATATAAATGCTTTATGAACTTAGCAAATTAAATCTTAAGAACTAGGAATCAGCTGGAAAATAGAACTTGGGGCAGGGGATTAACCTGTGCCTCACTGGACTAGTGGTCATGCTAGGTAGGTAAACGTTACATTAATGTTCTTACTCAAGATACTTTTTCCCCTACAGCACAATTCTATAATTGTTTAGTAAAAGCTCTTTTTTCCCTTCAGTACAAACTCTTTAATGCTACAACTGCAAGCCACGTACAGTATATGAAACGTCAACGTACGTACCTATTAATTCAGCAACTGCACTGAACGGCCAGGTATGACTAGTAGAATTTGTGTGTAAAAACTTCGGGCAAAGCTGAAAGAAACCAACCCATGATTCATGTAAGTTAATTCAGATTTTACTTGACAGAACAAACTCAGTACCACTTCTTTGTCCCTAGGTTAAACAACATTGAAAGTAAGCAAAGGTGGTTCAAGTGCTTGCTGAGGGAGACATGCTCTAAAAGACCCAGCTCAGGGCTGGGGACGAAGTGGCTTACACACCAGGGCTGGTGGCACCTGACACCATCCGCTGCTCAGTCCTCGCCCACCTGGAAAGATCCACCTGAGAGGGACCAGAAAAGCCTTTCACCCTAATAAGGATCACTTCTTAATCTCCCTCTCCAAAATACAACTTTAGGTGCTGGGGATTTAGCTCAGCGGCAAAGCGCCTGCCTGGCAAGTGCAAGGTCATGAGTTCGGTTCCCGGTGCCAGAGAAAAACCAAAATACAACTTTACAGAGAAGGTCTTTTTCCCTTCAGGGCATTAGCTTTGCTTTTCAGCAGGCTTTCCAGCCAGCCACTCCAAGTCAGTATTTCACACTTTGACTTGCTTGTATTACACCCTCCAACTTCACTGTAGTCAAACTCCTGGCAGTGGCGTGGTATGCATCTATACACTCTTCAAACAAATGTTACTAGTAATTCTAATGGAGCAAACCATCCTGATTTCACTCAGTAATACAGTAAGAGAGAAAATACCAATCAACATTATTTGGTAGGGAACTGTGTAATCTCTCAAGTGTTGTAGATATCAAATGCAGAAAAATGTACACATGGTTTTAAAAGTCCAAGGCTTGAAATGTTCGATATACAGAGAATTTACACGCATTGTCTTAGACTCATGTTTAGCAGATTCTCCCGTATAAAGAAAGAAAAAGGAAGAATGTCAAGTGTGTGTTAAGTGTGAAGAGCTCTGGAAACAAGGGTAGATACAAATCGGGCCAAGGGTATTTACAGCGCTCAGCTGCTGCCAGCAGGTGTCAGAAAGAGGTGTACCTGGCCTGCAGCCACACCTGCTTCCAGACAACGCCCCAGCCAGTGTTTAACATGCATTAGGCTCCAGTACTACATGTGAGAAATGGGGCCGTGTGGGAGACTGGCCTGGAACAGTACATGCAACCTGGGCTTTCTATGGCACTCATCTGGGAGCACTCACATTCCTTGCTTAATGACCTGTCTGGTTAATGGCTGCCAGCCTGACAACCACCACTCAATTTCACAACCCATCTCTTTTCTTGAACAGTTCTGCAGTCTTGTTTATAAAGCAGTGCATCTTACTTCTACAGCACTGTAATTTTTGCTGACTGTACTGTCCTACACTGGTTTCCGTACATACTACATACAACTTCTCATTTAGCAACCAACTCACTGAGTGGCCTCATCACAGGCACTGAACTTGGGTGTTACCGGAGGAGCATCTGTACGGTGTTCATGAAACACAGAGTGCGTGTCACTCCATTTCTAAAGCACACTCCACAAGTTTCTAGAGAAAACCGACCTCTAGCTTTCATCTGCACAAGGGGTTTTTTCTCCAGTTAACCTATCTGACTGTCAACAACGAGGAAGATCTTCCTGTCCCGACTTCTCTTCCTCCCTATCCCCCGCCATTTGTAAGAGAATGGCACAGCCCTCACCCATTGAAATGGGTGAACCTCTGGCTAGCAAACAAGTGACTGATCAACTACATTTCTATTAAGGGTGAAGTCTGGAGTTAGAAATGGGGTATTTGGGGGTTCATACCGTGTGACAGTCTAAATTTAGATGTGAGTTAGAATGTGGTGGTAGGAAGGGCCGTTTTCATTTGATTCCTTCATTCTTCATACTGACTCTAAATTGAAAGGGCCCATGTCACTCTTGAGTAAGAGCTCCATGAGAGCAAAGAGAGTGGCAACAAGAAATAACAAATGCTAACATGGCTTTTTTCTGCGGTGGGGGGATTAAAATAGGTGATAATTTTTAGCAATTCTTAAAGCTACGTGTCTTTATTTTTATTTTTTGCTTTTTTCCAGTACCGGGAATCAAACTCACGACCTTGCGCTTGCCAGGCAGGCGCTATGCCGCTGAGCTAAATCCCCAGCCCAAGCTACATGTCTTTAGATGGAAAGAAAAATACACTTGAGCAGCCAAGGCCATGTGACACACATACTTTCCACATGCACAAAAACAGATCGACCACAGATGTAGTGTATTCACTAGGTATGTTATCTTGAGCAAGAAGTTTAGCCTCTGTGCTTCAAGTTTTATCACCTATAAAAGTGCGGTGACAACAGTACCAATCCATTTGGTTAAGAGAACTGTACAACTTCAGTATCTTTAGAAGAATGCCCTGAGTAACTAATTTAAAGATAACAGTACACAATGTATTAACCATTGTTACTCTATTATCCTGTTTAGAAATTTTTTTCTCTTTAAAATAAAAAAACTAAAAAAAAAAAAAGCCTGAATGTAAGCATTATAAGCATTTTTAAAAAGTAAATATCCCTTTTAAGGCAGAGCTGAGCTCAAATAAGAATAAGCAAAATCCCCAAGGACCCCAAGTAAAAAAGGAACTAAAAACCAAAGCTACACAAATGGGGGCACACGGGGAACGACAGTGAGAGCGTTTCACTGATCAGAGAAAGGTTCGGGTTTTAATGGTGACTGCAGGCTGGGTGATCTGGTAGAAAACAATCCTGCAGTTACTGTGAAGCAACTGTTTCCCCGTGCCTAATAAGGGAGTGGCACAGGTGGCACTTACCTAATGGGCAGGACATCTGCTTAGGTCTCTAGGCCCAAATGGGGGGGAAATGTGCACCGCAAGATGTATAGAAATAAGCACACCTAGGGGCCAGGGATATGGTTCAGAGGCACAAGCACCTGCCTGGCAAGCACAAGGTCCTGAATTCGAGTCTCGGAACAAAGAAATAAGCACACCTCCACCTCCACTTGGGTTAAGGGTTTCAACTATACAATGTACAGAACCACTGCAGTTCAATCAGACAGCACACAATTCCCCTAGGTAATTATTTCTGAGACACAATCCAAAACCAAACTTTTAAGGAGGTTAAACAATCCACAAGGAGAAAATGTTAGCAGACAAGACCCAATACTGTTAAGAGACCACAGGCCCCATTGGGATGCTCAGTAAAAGAACACACACACACACATGCACACACAAATGAGATACTCTGAAGTAAACAAAGACTTTCAAAGAATCAACAGAGCTTTTAAAATCAGCAAAACAGTCACAACATTTTCAAAACTGTTTAAATATAAAATCCTTAAAATTTGGAAGACTAAACACATGAAATATTTACCTATGTCTCTCCTTAAACCACTCTAAAAGCGCCGGTATGGTGGTGCCCGCCTGTAATCCCAGCACTCGGGAGGCTGAGGTAGGAGGATGGCTGAGGCAGGAGGATCATTGCGAGTTTGAGACCATTATTGTAACAATGGTTACAATATTCCTTTAAGAGTTATACAATATAAAAAGATGTAAATGGTAACATCAAAAACAAAAATGTGAGGAGAGTAAAAATGTAGCTTTTATATGCAATTAAACTTGCGATATGTACCTGAGCAACTGCTTTGAACAGTAAGTACAACCACCATTGTTGATTTCCTATTGTCTTGTTTTGAAATTCTGTATTTTTTATAGTTTTTGTGTTGTTTTACTTTCATCTGTTTTTGTTTTTTTCTTTTCTCTTTAAAATAAAAAATAAATAAATTTGTGATATGTAGGTCAAAGGTTATATAGTTGTTTTATACAAGGGAAGTAAGTCTAGAGACCTAGTAAGCACCAGAGACCAATTAATAATAATGGATATTATGATATTATACAATACAAAAAAATATACAAAATATGTACAAATACTTGCTATCTACATTCCAGATCTTAAGGACTTAAATTTCTACGCTGTATCTAATGTGATGTATACATTCTACCGAACAATAAAGCATGTCTTTAAAATCTGGGCTGAAATAATTTCTAATCTAGCACTCAAACCAATCGAACTATACATCAAGAAAGAACAAGGTTAGCATGAACATATCTTCAGGTAATGCCATAATTTTCCTTTTTTTCATCTATTCATTTCTCGGGAAACTAAGTTTGTTTTTGGAGACGATGTGATCCACCAACACAAACAGGAACAAAAATGGCAAATATTACCGAGCGCCTACGTAGTTGCTCATTTAATTTTGTTTTGCTTTGTTGGGGTTTTTTTGGTACCAGGAACCAAACTCAGGACCTTGGACTTGCCAGGCAAACGTTTACGCCACTAAGCTGTATTCCCGGCCCTCATTTAATTTTTAAAACAATCTGAGGCAGGATAGATTGTTATGTCCACTTTTCAGATTAGAGGCTGGAATACAAAGAGGTGTCCTACCTGAGGTAGCATCCCATTATATGTCACTTAGCAAGGAGGACGGCTCCACAGCCTGGGCCCAGTTACTCACTGAGCTACAGTTCTTGGTGAGACTACATTCAAAAAACAAAGAACACTGAGGTAGGGAGACCGGAAAGGAGGAAGAAAAGTTCCAGAAAAATGTTAATGGGAAGTCCTCAAATCAAAACCAAGCCAGTGACTCCCAAGTGACAAAATACGGGGTGTGTCTGGGCACCTCCGGAAAAGATTTTCCAGCTCTTCTGAAATCTGGACTGGATTATCTAGTGAACAGTACAGACAGAACCAAACAAACTATAAATCAATTACTAACTTCAGGGAAAATAAGCTGTATACAAACTATAATCATAGTACCTTTGTTGGCACATTTAAGAATAAAGAATAACTCTATGATGAATGTGATCATTATGTGTACCTAAAATGTACCAATAAAATCCGATTTAAAAAAATAAACAATAACAAGCATTCATAAAGTAATTCAACCAAAGGGTGGAAAACAGGTGCTCCTATAGCTAAACCCACAGCAAGACTTCTGGAAGAAAAAAAACTCAACCACAAAAAATGACAGCTGGGGATGTAGCTCAGCAGCACAGCACCTGCCTGGCATGTGTGCAGTTTTGAGTTCAATTCCTAATAACAAAAAAGAAAGAAAACAATCTCCACTGTGAAAGTACATGAGGCTGCCAGGCACAGGGGCGCATGCCAGTAATCCCAGCACTCAGGAGGCTGAGGCAGGAGGATGGTCCCAAGTTTAAGACCAGCCTGGGCTATAAAGAGAACTCAAGGGCGGCCTGAATAGCATAGCGAGACCCTGTCTCAAAAAGACAAAAAAAAAGCAGAAAGTACATGAGGCTTTAGGAAGACATTTATACCCACAAGAAAAGAAAAAAGAAAAAAGGCATTGCTGGCTGTGGTGGAGCACACCTGTAATCCAAGCACTCTGGAGGCTGAGGCAGGAGGATGGCTAAGAGTCTGAGCCCTGGGATACATAGTGAGTTCAAGGTCAGCCTGGAGTACAAGGTGAGACTGTCTTGAAAGAAAGAAAAGAGAGAAACGGGGGGAGGGAGAGAGAGAGAGAGAGAGAGAGAGAGAGAGAGAGACAGAGACAGAGACAGAGACAGAGAAAGAGAGAGAGAAAGGGGGAGCGAGAGAGAAAGGAGGAGAGAGAGAGAGAAGGGGGGGGACAGAGAGAGACAGAGACAGAGGAGGGAGGGAGGGGAGAGAAAAAAAGAAAGAAAGAAAGAAAGAAAAGAAGAAAAAAGAAAGAGAGAAGAAAGAAAAGAAAGACCAGGAGATAAAAAGATCATTTTACTTAGAAATGTAGCGGGGGGAAGCAAAAATTTGAGCACAATTTTTTGACACTCTGCATTTCACCCTAGGATCTCAAGACTTCCTAAATGACTTGTTAAATTCCTTGCACATCCAAGGCCTCAGGTTCAATTCTCAGCACAGGGAGAATAAAGTGTCCAAACTGACTGCTTTTATATATTCAATTTCACCCTTCAGACCCTAATTTCTATGGTTTTTGACAAATGCAAAACACTCGTTAATTTTCAGACCTTCTCTTAATCCAAGCATTTGAAAGCTACTGTATGGGTAAATGAATGCACACCAATGTGTTCCAAAGAAACTTTATTAAAGTGCGTATTCCACAACACAGGCCATACAGAAACAGGTACCCAACTAGATCAGGCCCTGCAGCTGCACGGCGCCGACTCCTGTCCCAAAGTAAAAGCGGAGACCCATAGCAATTCTGTCCAAAAAGTGTAGACAGGAGAGTCCTGTCGATGAGGTTCCAAACGACCCATAAGCCCTGCAGAGCAAAGACAGCTGCTGCATCCAGAGAGCCGGCTGACACACACATTTCTTGACAGACTGATGTTTGGTTTTATTTTTGCAGTGTTGGGGATGGAACCCGGGCCACACTTAGGCCAGGCATGCTCTCCCCCAGCCGCAAACACTCCCAGCTTAAAGACTGCTTTAGTCCTCTGCTTTCCGCTTGATTTCTCACTTCCACTTTGAACCACAGCCAGAAATATGGGTGGAAGGTGGGAAAGGAAAAGAGAACCGAAGTGCAGAACCAGGTAAGAAACCAACGCACTTCCAGAATTCTCCACTTCAGGTTTCTAGGCCCTCCAAGGCTGGACAACATTCCCAGCCCCAGAAGGCAAATTCGAGGTGTCCGGACTTTGTAATATCGGACGCTAACCGGAAACCATAGAAACTGACCAGATTCACGCAACTGAGAGGAACAATAATCCACAACGTTTACTGCCAGTGGTAAGGAACACAGTTGCTCTTTCTAGTCCACTAAAGATTACCTCACTCACTAAGTCAGTTGTAACCAGAAGACTTTCACCCGAAGTATGTAAACAATTCTCAGTAATCCAAACAGAAACAAAAGAAAAAAGGAAGTCATAAAAATGGGCAAGCGGTATGAATAGGCAATCCAAAAGCAACGCAGATAACAAATGTGAAAAATCGCGCCTCTTGCCAAGTAATCAAGAAAATGAAAGTGAAACCAGCTATCACTTCACACACACACGCACACACACACACACACACGCACACGCGCGCGCGCTCGGACCCCAAATTGAAAGAAAAATGTTAAAGTGCCAATGTGCTTGCAACTGACGACGATCCCCGGCCAAACGAACGAGAGCAGCGGCCGGACAACGTTTATTTCAGCACCGGTAGAGGTCGGGTTTTGCATATGAACATCAACAGCGCCAGCGGCCACTCAAACTTTTCGGGACACACCTACCCAGGTGAGGACGCCACGCCCACTATTTTGAGGACCTGAAATCTAAAACCCGAGGATGTGACCACTCCCTTCCTCCGGGACCCTGGGGACGCTGCAGGGGGCTCCAAGAGCTCGCAACGATCGCGACCTGCCGGCCGGAGAGCCGGGCGCTCCAGGACCTGGGCCTCGGCGCCGCCACGGCGAGGGACGCAGGGGACTGAAGGCGCGGAAGCCTCGCCCTGCACCCGCACCCGGACCCCGACCCCGACCGCGGCCAGAAGCCAGGCCCCGACCCTCGACAACCGGGCAGGGCCGGGGGCCCGCGCTGACGGCCGGGAGGGTCCGTCGCCAGGGCCTCGCCCTCGGACGACAGCTGCGATGTCCGAGGTCCACGGTCCACACAGAACCGTACGCCGAGCCCAGGGACCCGCCCCGGCCCGCCGCCTCCGAGCCGGCCC